GTTTCATTAGTTAAAAGTTCGACCAATTCCTCGTAAATCTGAGCTTCTGCTGTTTCAATATTCACAAAAGGGTTTATAACCCATAAACACATTGAGGGACTTCCAGGAAACAAAACATCTTTAAAACGGTCAGAAAAGTTCATGTGTAAAGAGTCAAGGTGTTGACTATATTCTTTTGCATCATCAGAGCAAATTTCGCCTGCTTGGCTGAACTTATTCCAACCAAAATTCTGCTTCCACAAAATGAGTTTTTTTTAGAAAGGCAGAAATGACTGATTTTGTAGGGATCAAATTGAGCTCGTCGCTTTGAAGTGGTAAATTTAAGCCATTAAATTTTACAGATAAATCAACCAAAGTCTTTCTTAAATTATAGCAATCCGCCTCTCAGAGCTACATCTCTGTTTTCAGGGAACTCTAGACCAGAGTCGAAAAGATTCCAATACCTATTGAGACAGAAGCTTTTGAAAAGCCAGCAAATCTCTGTGTATAGTAGCAAACGATTGAATTTTTCATTGTTTTCTTACACAGCTGTCTGAATAATCAATCGTAGAGCATTACTGTGAATTTTGCTCTCAGCCGATATGGCTTGACTTGACCTTGTGGCTCATCTTTCCTTCGGTTAGACTCCTCCCCTGAAATCAATTGTTTTTTAGCATAGTAATTTATGCAATTTCTGAATGAATCATTGCATATTGCAATGATTGATGCAAACGCTCGCTGAGATATTTTTCCTACTAAATGCTGTCTGTGAACACAGTGAACAGCTAAAATATCTGGTACCTCCCTTTCCAAAAGGGCGATAAACCCACAATGTTGACCCACCACTGCGGAAGCCTATCAGTGACAATGGACATAATATTCGCAAGAGGAATGCTTTTCTCTTTAAAATAATCTTTGACAGTATTAAAAATAGATTTACGTTAGATATCTATAATCAAGCTTCTTGCAAAAAGCATCTCTTGAATAATTTTTCCTACCTTTACAAACCGGACCTATGCTTAAAGTAAAGCCTACATTACCTGGCAAGGTTAATTCATCAACTTAAAGGGAAAATTCGCTGGATATCAGAAGTTTGCATAAAGAGTTGCTTCAGCCATCTCATCATTTCGTCGCCGCACAGTATTGTTACCTATGGGATATTTTTTCATTACATTGGATGCGGCTGGTTGGTGTGAAACTGTTTCTAGAACTTCCTTGACAATCGGCAGTATAAACTCTGCACCGATGGTATGAGCTTTCCCAGATTTAGCAATAAGTTTTGATATATTATAAGAAGCTATCAAATCATCGTCTCATTTTTGTGATAAAGTTGCTAGTAACCCTGAGACAGAACGTGAAAAAAGATGTTCGTGAAAAATGACAAATCTTTATTTTGTTTGTCAGGATGAGTTTTTTGCGTATGCTCCTGCTAAGGGTAAGATATCATTACCTCATTAGATAAAAAATTATTACAAAGAAAGCACATGGGTAGTTGAGAGTTCAACAGTGATTGAACAAATCCCAACTTCTAGTACGGGGCACTATATTGACACTTCTTTTTGTCAACCAGCATTGTTGGTTGCAGCAAAATATAAACTATGAAAAAAAATCAACCAATTACTCAAAATTAATAAATAATTTAAGATAAAGAGCAAATTCGCGCATGTACCTGACCAAATAAACTATGAGATCTAATCGAAACTGGGGGAGAAACCGTAAGGAAGCTAGCGAAGACCATTATAAGAAACACGGATCAAATCAAGCATTCATACTGAAAGCTCATGCACTTTAATTTCCACCAAATGGCTTGAATAAGTCAGAGCTGATTCATGCGCTGAGCTGTGTTGGTTCGGATCGGAGAATAGGTGTCCTATAAGTTCGTTTTATTGCTAGTACAAATGGTGTATCGGATAATTTTTATTTATTATATTAATTTAATATTTTTTCCTTTAATATTAATTTTAGATTAATTTTATTTATTAAAGAAATCTTAATTTAATAATTTTGTTTGCAAGTTTTAAAATTAAATTTGGATGACAAAACATGCTCATCGCCCCCCTACCGCCCAAAACATATCCAACGCCCCCCTACCGCCCAAAACAAGTTCACCGCCCCTCAGCATACTCCCACCGCCCCGTTGAGAACCAATGGTCTAGACTATCTCGTTCCGTTAGTTTAAGCTGGAAACGGTTAAAACTTTGGGCCCTTAATGATATGTGTTCCTTTTCTTGCTTATCTCGCTTTAAAGTACTGGTATTTTAAAATTTCATTTCTAAGATTTTTTTGATGATAAATATATATAAACCAATGTTTCCTTGTTANGTTTCGTTCGTAGGAATTTTCTTTAGCTTTTCACTTTTGCTGACTGCAATTATTCTTCAATATTATGTTATATATAGATATATGTTATATATATATATATATATATATATATATATATGTTGTTACTTATGTATTATGTTATGTAAGATAATACATATTATCTTCTAAAGATCATTTATGTAATTTAATAATTCATATTTTAACTGCATAAGTAAAATAACTAGAGTAAAATCTATTTCTATCGTCATAAGAATCATTAATATTTGGTAATATAAGTAGTAACAGTTCTGCTGTAAAAATGGTAAATTTTTTCCATGCTTTAAAGAAAAAAAGGAAGCTAAAACTAAAAGAGGAACTGAAAAATGAGATTGAAACTGAAAAATAAGCTTTTATAACCTCTACAATTGGAAAGTAATCTCTTTTGTTAGAAAAAGCTCAATTTGATGAGAATAAATTAAGGAGCAGTCTAAAAACTTTAGAAACGGTATCTTCAGAGCAAATTTCGCAATTATGTATAAAATATCCTATTGCCAAAATTTTGTTTTAAAATCAATATTGATCATCAAATATTCCAGTTTTTCAACATTATTAATGTTTAATATGAAATATATATTGGAATAAAGCATGCATTTTAAAGAACTTAGTAAACTGAATATTTATTGATTTATTTTTAATAAACTCTGTATTTACAGTAGATTAAATGTAAAATTTCCAATAGTTGCTATATACCCAAAAATAAGAAAGTCTATTAAAAAATTATCATAAAATTTTAATTACGTTTTATTCCCTATTTGTTATATGAGCGGACATATTTCGCCTTACTAAAAGTACCAAGTTTTTCTTTTAAATTTTGATACTCTAATATTCCAATTTTTTAACATTTTTATTGTTGACGCTGAAACTTATTTTGAGGTTGTAAGGCAGAAAATTTAAGTAATATGTTGAACTAAATATTTAATGAGTTTTTAGTTAACTTTGTAATTATAATTTTATTGTATAGCAGATTCAAAGTAAAATTGAAAATACTTTCTTTATAATCAAAAATAAGAAGACCTATTCAGAAGTTAGCATTGAATTTTTACATTGTTTTCTTTTCTATGTGTCCTTTTCGTTCCTGTATGTCCTATGAAAATATCTTTTGTGTTACTGAAAAGTGGTTTTAAACTGTTAAATTAACAAGAAACTGAACTAAAAATATGTCCTAAAATAGAAAGTTTTACTTGTATTGTTATTGAAAAGTAAATTAAGTTTAAAAACAAATTCTATTAAATTTTGACCACAAATTATATTTTGTTCTGAAATTATTATATTTTCTTTGTTTCTTAAATTCAACTAAGATAACTCTATCTTCCTTTTATTTTATTGAATTTATGTTAATTATTTTACATCAAAAGTCAACAGTAATATTGTTCATTTTTTCAGAACTTATAAAATGGTATAAGGGAACCGATGCAGTTTATCATTTGAACCTTTTAATTAGAACCTATACAGTTTAACATTTGGTAAAAACTAGAATTCTTGTTTTGTCAGAAAGAACTAGTTTTTGAGAATATTTATTAGTTTGTTATGTTTGTTATGTCATTGTATCTTGATCAGGATATCTTACAGCCTTCTTCTAGTGATTAAACTAGATATTGGATTTTCTATATTTTTAAAGGTACGGGTATGGATTAATTCACTAAATTTCGTACGCTAATATTGAGAATACAATAACTCTTAAAATTTCATGTAATCATACTTATAAAAATGGCTTTTTTTAGGTGCAATTACCTGCAATCTGTTTACAACTATATTTACATAGATAAATTATTGTTCACTTTTTAAACGCTAGTTCTTGTAATAACTGTAGTTTTATTATTATTATTACCTTTCTACTTTCCATGGATCCGAGATAATTTGCTGACTTTAAAATATTAGAAATTGATTTCAGTTTTATAGATTCAATATTAATATGCAAGTACACAAATATCTTCATAAAGTTATAATTTTTTAAAAAGATATTTTGAATTTTAAATAGAGTTTTTAATAGCTTTTTACAATGCAATACTTCTTTAAAATGTTTTAAAGAAATATTTCTATATCTCATTATTTGAAAACCATTCATCTTTAAAAGCAACTCTGAAGCTATTTTTTAAACCCAATTTTAAGCATTAAAAGCATTTGGTATACATAAAATTTTTTTCTTGACTGAAAGAAATATGTTTTGAACGTTTTATATTACGTTTTTCACAGTTTAAAATATTTAATAATACAAAGTGTGCAAACGCTATCTCAAATATTTTTCAAAATACTGTCAAGCTCTTTTTTTCTAAACCCAATTTACGTAATAATTATACATATTATATTTTTTTTGCTGAAAAATTGTTTTCTGAAAATATTTATTAGCTAGTTTTGTTTCCTATACGTCGAAATATTTAGTAATAAAAACATAAAAACTAACCATTAAAACGAAAAATATTCAGAAAATAAAAACTAACAATAACGTACTAGGTCTGATTTTTAACAATATTGTCAATCTTTTTTATCTAACCTAATTTTAATTATCAAAAGCATTTGCTACATATTAGCTTTTCTCTGACTGCAATGAACATTTTTTGAAAGTATTTATAAGTGACTTAAGTTTCCTATTCTTTCAGATATTTAGTAATAGAAACCGAATAAACTTTCATGATGCTTTATTTTAAAAGATGAACACAGTATAATCCTTTAGATATATTTTATTTCAAAATAACACGCAACATTAGATTCATAACAATGAAGATACACTTTATTTCTCATATTTATACACATATATAGCATCAATAACATCTTAAAATTAAGCTTAGGATATACATTCAAAGTAAAAAGCCTTAAGTGTAAATAGTAATGAAATTCATTTAATTAGCGTTGTCTACAAAGTAAAAATAATGAATTAGTACATAAAGATATTTTCGTAACCTTTTTTTCATGAAGTTTTTTGCTTTTTTTTAAAAAGTGTTTTATTTTTTCTAATCAAATAATTGTCTGGAAATTTTCCTTCAAGTCCCAACAGTAGTGATAATTTATCAGCAAATATTAGTGGTGTTTTTACAATATTATCCGCAGTTCTATGAATCAAAATTATTTGATCATTTTGATTCGAAATAAATCAAAGCATTTGATTATTAGTTTCCTATAAATTTTGTATTTTAATTCATTAATTTGATATGGTTAATACAGATTCCAAAGGATGAGTGCTGCTTATATTTATTATATATTCTATTTTAAATCATACACTTGAAATATTTAATGCAGCTTCCAAAGAATAAGAATTGCTTATATTTATGAAATGTTATTTTTATAAAATATTATATTTTAAATCATAAATTGGAAATATTCAATACATTTTCCAAATAATGAGTGTTGCTTATATTTATTATATATTATACATTAAATCATAAATTTGAAATATTTAATGCAGCTTCCAAAGGATGAGTGTTGCTTATATTTATTATATATTCTATTTTAAATCATAAATTTGAAATATGTAATGCAGCTTCTAAAGAATAAAAATTGCTTATATTTTTAAAATGTTATTTTTATAAAATGTTATGTTTTAAATCATAAATTGGAAATATTCAATATATTTTCCAAATAATGAGTGCTGCTTATATTTATTATATATTATATATTAAATCATGTATTTCAAATATTTAATGTAGCTTCCAAAGGATGAGTGTTGCTTATAAGAAAGCATAGTCACCACTTTGTGCGTAATGGCTGATATGTTAATCCTTTTCCAAGGCTTAAACAGCTATCTTATAAACATTAAATCCAGAAATGTTATTAGATATGTTCTATTATTGAATGTATAATATTTAAAATATTATAGAATTAAATATACAAGCCGAAAATGTAAATTGTTTTTCATCAAATATTTGATAAATATTTTGTTTTTCATAAGAAAAATATTCGAAGTCCTGCAGTCTTTATTGATATTGAAGTCCTTATTGATATTTTTTTTATGTAAGCAAATAGATTTCAATTTCAAAATTAGTCTAAGAGGAAAATATAGATTTTTAATTAGATATGTATTGAATTAAATATAATTGAACTGTTGAATATTTTTAAATAAATATTCAACAGTTAAATACAACAGTAATTGTGTTTTTCCATAATAGAGTGATTAAAAATACCCATAGAAATACTTACAGAATTATCAACAAATAGCCAAAAAGAAGATATCTGTCAAAAAAAATTATTGTTCATTTCAAAGGAGCTTTTAGTTTTCAAAATATTTTGTGAGTTTTTGGATATCCACGCTTTAGAATTTTAAAATATTAGGAATATATTTAATTTTAAAAACTAATTTTTTCCACTAGGAAAAATAATTTAAGCTTGTCTCTGAAATATATATCTCCCCCCTTCGTTATAATTCAAGTAATACTGAAACTTTGAATGTTTTTTTCTCCGTTATCGATTGTTTCATGTTTCTTTGAATATATCTTGAAGACTACACAAGATAACTGCATGTAACTCAACATATGTATACTTTGATATTTATTAAAGAAGTTATTGCTTTATGTTAAAAATTACATTTTCAGCAACAGACTTATGTTTATATTTTACCTTTATTTTTATTTAAGAAAGGGCAAAGTTTGTTTTGAAATTTTTACTCATAGTAAATATTTAAGAAAAGGTAGTCAGACGAAATCCATGCAATTTTGAATTTAGTTCTTTTTTAAAAAATTTTTTATCAATGCGATACAAAAAAATACTAAAGGTAATTTAAGTTAGGATAATGATACGAAAATAAGAAGTAGAAAAAGATAGTTAATATTAAAGTCTGATATTTTCAGTCAAATAAAAGTTAACTAGCACTATTTTTCTTAAAGTTTATAAATTTCTATGTTTTTAATTCATCACAGAAAGTTTGTGAGCCGCTTTTGTATACGTATTAAGCAGTAAAACAAAACAAAAAACTCAAAGGATATTAAATATTAAAGAGTTGTAATAAATGGATATTTAAAAAGGTCCTATTGAGCCCAGGACTATTTGTTAGGTAAAAGAAAGTAAAATGAAGCAGCCCCACAACAACCTTATGTGAACTAGGGGTCCTGGAGGTTAAGAGTTCACAATACCGTGACCAATGGCATGATTGTGGCTTTGTGGTCAGCATTGCTCACAGGCCATCTTTACTTCCCAGAAAAGCTAATACCCATGGATCTGAGGCTGGGTGAACTTCAAACCGCCACTGGTGAACGAACTCCAGTTCTTAACATTGTTTGTATAGTATGTAACCACGGAAGCATAACAGTGGTAAAATAAAGCCTTATTTATTATTTGCGGAAGTGCTATTTTTTTGTTTTTTTAATTTGAACTAAGTACAAAGAGTGGATAAAACTTTACTTCCATATCATGTTTAGATATTTTTTCAAATTATTTATGCCTTTTCCTTTAAATAAACTCAGGAATTCAAAGAATGTTTCTTTATGTTTCAAATTTAAACTATTGAAAAACTGGGGAATAGTTAACAAATCTAAGTTTATCTAAGTTATCTAAGATATATCTAAGTTTATTCTGCTGTACCTCATCTATTAATGTTTTATTTTAATCTTAGATCTATAATGTATGTTTCCATTATATTCACCTCTATATTTCTTATATTATATATTTGTATTCTTTTACATTCTTACTTTTTTACGTCTGATGCCAAGATTAAAACAAAACTTTTAAATCAACATTGTAGGAAAAAGTTTGAGATACAGTTTAAGTAAAATTTAGAGATTTAAATAACTTTAAAAACCACTTTGAAATGAACAAAATAATCTGTGCATTCATTTTCAATAACAAAAATAATATATGGAAAAATAATCTATTTGCGTGAAATCCTCAGCTCCAATGACTAACAACACTTGAGATGTTTCACTTGTAAGAACTATAATAATATAATATTGGTACTTTTTAATGTAAGGAAATAAAGCAGCACTAAGTGCCATAATTACAAAGGTATCATAAATTTAATAAAATCTATTGTGCCACTTTTATAATAATTGTATGGTTCTTAATATTTTTTAGCTGTTTGTAATAAAGATTTTTCCTTCCATTATTATTTTAATCTTTTATTTAGGTAAATAAATTGAATTGAATTTAAAACATGTTTAGACTACTAATTTAGTATTTTATTTTCAAATAAGTTAACTATAAAAGGTAAAATAAGGGACATAAATACTTCATGAGGATTATAGGTTATACACATGTTGTATGTAAACAGAATTTAAACATCTAAAGTTTGTAACCACAAAACATTATGCCGCATGACGCATGGACGACACATCAGATGGCTGCTTTCCTCTAAGACTTCACATCTGATCTGGGAGGTATAATCCTTGGAGGGTTTCTGAAAAATATGAAATTAAATTTGCATAGATTTACTTATGTAAATAATAGGTTTGATTATACTTGATTAAAATTTTCATACGATTTAAAAATTTACAAATTTGAAATAACAATAGACATGTTCCATGTGCTCAAAAATAGGCTCCCACTTTCAAGACTTGCCAGACGTGAATGAGAAGAAACAAAGTGATTTGAAGTTTGCTTTACAGTTAATATTTTAATATTATTATTCAGCACGAATATCACGAATGTACGAATTCAATTTTTTTCTACTATTTAAGTTTGATTGTCAGATATTTGAAAAAACTAATGTCTATATTTTGCAGGAATTCATGATTCTTATGACTAGAATACATAATACAGTATATATATTTTTTCTGAATTTACACACATTCATTGAACGGAAAAGTGATTGATTTTGTTGGATTATATTTGATGAATTTGTTGGTAATCTAAAAAAGCAAACAAATTATTAGTACCATGATTTCATTATTAGAGTTATTATTTTTCTCTAATACTTGATTTGGTTATAAGGTTAGGGGCAAATAAATAAAAAACGGTTCAAACGGACGAGATAATCAGGAATCACTATTTAACATCAGTGATGAGAACCTTGTTCCTTATACAAGGGTTTTCTACATTATTGCAGTACGCACTGAAAAAAATTCCAGATTAAAATACTGTATAAAGTATCGGTACTCAGGGTACCGGTAATTTTTACTGCAAAATTCATTTTTACCGGAATATGTTACGGATCAAAAAATCTGGCTATATCGCAATTTTTATAGTAATAAGTACCGTAAAATCCCTGAATCACTGTACTTAAATAAATAATACTATATAAAGAACAATGAAATGATTATTTCGAGAAAAATTAATTTATTTATTGCAAATATAATAGAATATACTATAATTTTGAGAACTAATGCAAAATACATTATATTATTGATTTATAGTTATGACTGAAATAAATGAGTAATGTATATTGATAGTTGCTTATTTCAATCCTTTACCATAAGGGGAACAGCAACAAAAATCTTTTGTTAAATATCTAAGGACACTTATTGGAAAACAGCATGATGGATTTGAGTTTTCAAAGAATATAAATAATAAATCAGCTTGCGAAAATAGAAAGGTATTTCTCAAATAGTAGCTAACTCCTCACAAGTTTAAGGAAATATTACTGTTATAATGCATTTTTGAAAAATGTCTTATAATGATTTTATGTTAGATGGAGGATATATTTTACTGAAATATTTGAAGTTCCGGGTTGTGATTTCTTTTGATATTTGAGAAAGTAGGAACTCGTTTGTAATACCTATAATATTCAGTTCATTAAATATGCTCTTTTACTAATGGGTCTATACATGCATCGTTAGTGAGGAAAAAAATTATACTTTTATTCAACGGATTAGAATCAAATTTTCTCCTTGTTACTCGAAATTAATGAACTGTACATGGTTTGCTTTTATTTCCATTGGTCGAATATTTGAATGTTATATAGATAATGAATGTCAAATAGATTCATTCGTATACTTGTCATTATTTTAATTAGAGATTTTAATGAAAAATATCAAGTTTCAAATCATGTTACTACTTTGCTTACAGCACTAGCAATCGGTAGATCGACTAAAATTCCGGATCAAAGAACGGTATTAATTACCGGTACTTTGGATGCAGCATCCGTAAAATCCATTTTACCGAAACATCCATTTTTACCATTAAATATTTTACCGTAATATTACAGTAATGTTTTTTTAATTACAGTGATTTACGGTAATTATTGCTAAAAAATCACGATTTATCGGATTTTGTTATTTCCTATAAATGGATTTTACGATAAAGAAGAATTTTCCGGTAAAAAGTGTCGTCATCCTGAGTGTCGTTATTTTTTAAAGTAATTTAATCCGTAATTTTTACAGTGTGGTCTATTTGATGTACCAGCTGTAAGAAAAAGATTAATGAAGTGTAAATGTGAATAAAATTTAATTTCATCATTTGTCATTAGTTTTCTCATTGCTCTAAATTGCAGAAGTATGTTTGTAATGGAATTTTTGAAATTGTAAAATGCGTAGTTGATATTATTGTAAATAAATCGTAATAATAATTGTAATGTAAATATATTGTAAATAATTATATTTTCTCTTTATCTGCTTACATTGTTTTGATTGAGAAACAAAATTTCTCAATCAAGACAATAAAAGCAAATAAAGAGAAAATATAATCAAACAGACTACTAAAAAGAAATGGAACTGGTTTGATGTTTGATGTACCCTTTTGATTAAATTTGTCACTTTGTTTGAAAGTTAAGAAGCAACCTTACGTTGTTATATAAATTCTATTTCTTTTGATGTATAGCCTATGCATTTCATTGATATAGCATATCATTTCATATTATATTTTTAACACATTTAAGCACATCGAATTGTATTTATTATACACAAATAGTATCTATTTTAACTTCTTTTAATGTAACTGTTATAAGCATATTGCATGTTTTAATAACAGTTTTTTTTATTCTCTTAGGTAATCACTTCATTATAGTTTTGCCTCATATCAGTGTAGAATCAAACTAATTTTGTTATATGTAATTTTGTAACTATGTTAGTGATAATTGTTTGGTATTTTCAGAATATCAAATTATGCACTGAGAAAAAAAGTGTTATCAAAACTACTGGAACATACTTAATAACTTCCATACTAACTGAACATACCGTTTCTTTGGTACTATGGAAACACCAAAAAGCTCAGCAAATTTTACCGATGCGCTTTGGTAAGGATTTTGGTAAAATTAGCAGTAAAATATAGTTTTATAAAATGCAAAAAAGTTTGGTGAATGTGATAAAATTTGGTAATTTTATCATGATGTGTTTGAACAAGGTATTAAAATTATTCATTCAGTTAAATTAACTTTTCAGTTTTGTATTTTTAACTAAAAGTTTGAAAATAAGAACTATAATTTTGAAAACCAGAATTTCCGGTAAACCGTTACCATATGAAAAAAAATACCAAATCAATGGTTTAAATAACGTATATTTTGGTTTTGTTAGCTACATACCTCGAATGTCATTTACATACCGTGAGGAATTTTTTTTCCTCCTTGTGTAGTAATTTCTACATCTAGTCTAATTTCAAAATTTCTAAAAAATCTATTTTCCGTGTAGTATGCAGCTGTCAGTTCTGAAACCGTCAATAACAGAATATTATAAATTTTTTACGAGAAATTAATTTGCTTAATAAAAATTGAATAAAAAAGTTGAAAGTAAGACTAAAAGAGAATGGAATATATTCAGCATGCCTATAACTAATTGATGTTAAGAAGTTGACGAATAGTCTTTGTTCAAAGTATGTTCTTATTTTTTAATAATAAAACATTCAATCGAGCTTAAAGTATTCCTTTCTACAGTTTATTGAGTTATTTATTAATGAAATATCAGACAACTTGTCAATATTTTTAATAAAAACAGTTCCCTCTAATTTCCCCTTTTTAATAAAACATAAATTCAACAAAATGAAATTTTAATTAGAAAAACAGAGGAATGTATCAAAGAGGATGGTTACCCAACAACACCCTTAAATGAAATGTTTAATTATATTTGATCCTAAATTAAGTTTTGAATCTCTACTAATTACATTCTTTTCAAATGAAAAACATGTAAGAAAAAAGAACCACTAAAGCAACTTTGTTGAATTTCTTCATTATTTTTTACAACGTACTTTAATGAATTTTATTAAGTATACTTTATCACGATCAATTCAATTAGTCTTTTAGGTGAAAACTCTTATTGCCCATAATTTAGTTAGGTGTAGTAAATTAGTTCAAATTATACATTGTACGCATTTTTGAATTATAAGCAATCGTTAGTCAAGCCCATATATATTGGTACAAAATGTAACAATAGATTATTTAAACTTTTATGTAAGAGCTCTGATTATTTGAATTCTCATTTATATGAATTCAAATAATCGCTATTGTTTGTATCAATAGTCTTATTCCTTTTAGATTTTTTCTTCTTTATTTTGTTCAAAACAAATTAAATTCAAAGGAGAAAAAGAATAAAATCCTTTTAAAAGTAATAATTTTTTTTCAATGTTTTCCAATCATTCATAGTAAATTGGCAAAAATGTATTTTGAAGGATCATTGCTTTTATTTAAGTACCTTCTTTTATTTTAAAATTGAACTAATAGAGTGAGGGATGATTATTTATGCAAACTATAACTTTTAACATTATAAACAATTACAATACTTGTGATCTGATTTTTTAAAGCATTATATAACAATGCAAATTACATTTAAATACCTTATAACTCCACAATTTTTATATACATATTATATTTTTCATTAAGAATACGTAATAATAATAAATATATTATAATAATTATGTTTTAATATTTTTATTCCTTAATATTTCTTGTAACAATCACGAACTGTATTTTGCGAAACATTTAAACTAATACGTGATATATACTCAATGGTATTAATTTAATCTTCTATAGTATCTTTCTATAAACATTTGTGCCTGTCTTAACCCCTTAACGATCTTATTAATTTTAGGAAAACGGTTGCAAGAGTGCCTATTTTTTTATTCAAGAAAATCAAATAGAAAAGGTGTACGTACTATCTATGTATTCCTTTTAGATGTTTCGAATTTTTTTCAGCTTGTATAAACATGTTTCTATAAACATTTGTGCCTGTCTTAACCCCTTAACGATCTTATTAATTTTAAGAAAACGGTTGTAAGAGTGCCGATTTTTTTATTCAAGAAAATCAAATAGAAAAGGTGTACGTACAATCTATGTATTCCTTTTAGATGTTTCGAATTTTTTCAGTTTGAAATTTAAAAAGGAATAATTTTTTTTAGGTGCAGTCAATATTTAGGTTTATTGAGATAGAATGTTGGTTTTTCAGTAGGCAAGAAAAATTAACAAACTATGTGTTTCTAAGATTAGAACAGATTTTAAAACTTACGCATAATATTAATAAATATTTGTAACTTTTA